TAAATAATATCAGCAGCGGCAAATGTTTGCTCGGTCGACCGGAATTCTATTCTTGATGGAAACCTTAAAAAAGTTTCATATGGAAACGGTTTTCCGGCAATTAACGCTAACCAAAATTTATTGCTTTGCATGCCGTATGGCGAACATCGTTGCCTGACCATTGAAGTACGAATCAGTTTCAGTGTGGTTTTTCCTGAAGGAAAAGTGCTCATAAACACTGACATAAATATGAAATTCTCTCAAACCAATGATCTGTTAAAATCCAAACAAAGCCGAACAATAGGCAAGCCATTTCATTATTAGAACATTCCAAATAGAGGACAGCCGAAAAATCTAAATCACGATTTACCCTCATGAATAAGAACTGTGAGCACTAGTGTTTCGCATAAAATAACGATGATGGCGGTAATGATCGACTAAGCAACTGCATCATATTAAGGTTATGGTTTGCATAAGCAGCTAGACCTTGAGGGTCACATGCAAGAAATGCAATCTGCAAGAACTTTCGCACCCAGCAATTGCGTCAAAGACAAGCGTTCCCCTACCATCACTCCAATATCCAGAAGGAAGTGCAGGAGACCAAACGCTGCGGATGGCTCTAGCGGAAAAGTTCAGTTGCTATCTGGAAACGGAAAAGACATAATCAAGCTGGAAGGAGTCAAAAACCATCGTATTGGTCGAGAAAGATGACAGGGAAGCTGTGAATAACTATCGCCTAATCTGCCTGCTATGAAAAATCTACAAGCTGTTCACTAAGATCATCCTCAGCAGAGTGTCAATAAGTCTGGGCGAACAGTAGCCAAGTAACATGCAGGATTCCGAAGTAGCTACAGTATAACGGATGGCATCTTTACCTTAAATCAACTCTTCAAGCGCGCGATGGAATATGGCCTTATTCTGTACATCGCCTTAGAGACGTCTACGAAAAAGCATTCCATCTGTAGAGTACAACGCAGTGTGGACTGAATTGGTCGAACAGTCATATATACCCGTTACATCAACCTGCTTAATGAAGCGAACTCTAGCTGCTTCACGCAGTTCCACATCTTGCCTCCTCTTCACCTCCGGGTTCCCGTACAGAAGGGCGCAAAACAAAGAGACGCCATCTTCTCAAAGCTCGTCACTGCCCTTTTGAAATGGTGTTTTGGAGCATGAACTGAAAAGATGAACAGCTTAGCACCAAACACATGCTTGTGACGTGGTGTTGTTTGCGAAATAGACAAGCCAGCTGCATAACACGCTGCAGGAGCTCAAGAAAATGCTGTAGAAGTCAGGCCTCAAAGACAAAGATATGCGATGCCCGGACGAAGGCTCAGGTAGTATTAAACGACAACGAAACGGCAGAAGTCCATACATTCGTTCCTGACCAGGACATCAACATGCGGCAAGATTCGGCTGGAGATATTCAACTGAACGAGATGGCTGGTTGGTGCACGTTTTATTCCATTAAGGACATTCTCCTCGCAAAATCAGAAATGAAACTCCGACAAATCTATCGTCCTTCCGGAAATTTTATATGATTGTGAGACGCGGTAACTCATTAAAGCTGAGGAGCGCTATCGAAAGCAGAAGCTATGGTGGACCGAGCATGCAACTCGGCTCACCGACGGGTGATCGTCGGCGATTATCATATATTGGTACTCTCGCCGGCGGAACCAGACCGTTTCATCGCCTACCACAACGGTGGTAAGATTTTATCAGTAGCCGCGAGGGCCTTGCATAAAGGCGAAAGACTCGAAACCATAAGGAATGGCTGGCTTGTTGTGATCGGTGTGATGCTAACCGATTACTGGCCGGTTCAAATGATTTCAGGCAGATCAACAGGCTTTCCACTAACGGTAATGAGTGATATCCTGTTGCCTTTTGTGTAGATGGAAGATCGCTACATTGTTGCGTGAGATTTGTATATCTTGAGAGTGATGTTCAACATGTGAAATGAATAATTTTTTCATTTGCTTGCATAATGTATTAACATGGACCTTCTTTCGGTTCATGCTCATGAATCGTCATCCTAAAGTGGGTGATGTAATAAAAGGTTTTAACATGTTTCAGGGGTCCAAGGCAAACAGCGACCCCAGTCCTTTCGCTCAAATTTGCAATCAAATGAGATTGCATTATTACATTAAGGCATTTCGAGTCTCGTAAACTCCGGTGACTAGAATCTGGTTAACCATAAGCTTCAGGGTCCACGACAGGCCCTCGCAGTTTCCAGGAATATGCACCACGCCATGGCTCTGTTACTGTAAACTAACGCTTCCTTTCACTTATAAAGAAACAGAGAGCGAATTTAACGTCGCCCTGACTACGACCCCACACCTTGGTCGCTGCGCACTCTCCGCAACCGCGATGCCCAAGTTTAATTATGGACAGCAAGATCCCACGTGCTCGACGGGCATTACGTTTTCCCACTGACTATACATTAAAGCAATTGTATAAAATAAAATATTAAGGCACATCAAGGAATTTTCAAAGTATCATGGAAAAGCAAATCTGGATTACTGACTTTTAACTTTACTCTTAAGGCGAAAGCAAGATCTGTAGCCGGTTTACAGATAAGAAGACCTGTAGCGCTTTAAGAACGACATGGAAGATATAGTACTGAATGAAATGGCTTACCTTGCTGATGAAAGTTCGCAACTTATGCAAAAAGTAAAGAAAATTATCTTCAGAATCATAATGCTTAATCCGAAGCGTCTTTTCTGCAGTCATCACAACTCACCAGATCGCAACTCGTTTTTCACCATATTAAACCGTTTCTGCCTTTTAGAACGGCACGAGTTTCGCTTTTTTTATACTGCCATGTTTGGCTTCCCCAAACGCATCTTTCACTATGCGTTGATCAAAGAAGGATGTGCCATTTTCCAAACAACATGGCCGTGTCGCGCGACGAAACAAAGGTCTTGTGCAGAACCAAGCAGCGCCTAACGCCTTACTCTTGCGACGATTTGGCGCAGTTGAGTTTCAAATGCAAACCCAAGTTAATTGACAAGGTTTTATAACACCGAACTAGTGTGGGAGTGACTTCAGCAACTAGATCATCGGTTATCAGACGAGCGATTGGCTAAACAGTACAGACCATTTCCTGCTTCAGGAACTTTTGTAAATACCAGTCTGCGAAATGGCTATAAATTCTATTAGGAGAAGCTCATGAAATATGCATGACCGTTCCGACCGCGCAAAAACTACCTCTCAACTAAAGTCGTTGAACAAAGCGGGCGTAAAAACCTCGCTCCGAAAGCTACAGGTCAATGTTCTGTGCATTTGCCTTTCCTATGCTAATTACAAGCATTGAGCGAGTTACACCTGATTCAATTTTTGCTGAACCTGCAACACTTCCGGCTTACTTTTGTCCCCTCTACGACCGTTGTTGCTGAACGTGTAATGAACGTAAAGTATGTTCAGTTGTTTGCATTTGGAATTGAGTTTAGGGAACGGGCACCATTTCAAAGACGATGCCCATCCGCAGCAAGACCAAGTTGCAGATGCAGATATTATTCAGAATCTTTGACCCTCCGCATGCAGCAATCATCGGATATAGCTCGAATCTAATCTACTGTACCATCAGCTATGTTAATTAGAAATTAGCTTTTTCGGACGATCTCTCCCGGTGGTCGGCATCGCCCCGTATGCCCAAACACTCGCTGCATTGTGCTGCGGAACTACTTTTTTGAGGTCATTTTCGTTGCTGCCTCGAATTTCAGAGAATGTATCAAAGTGCGTATCATAGATTCATGAATACCGCACGCCAAGTTGTACAAGCACTAGCTGATGCTGGTCAGACAGTCCTGATTCGCTCCAATCTATGACTTGAAAAACGTTTTAAACACAAATTAAACAATGATTGACACTCAGGTTAAATAAAGCATAACCACAATTTCGAACATATCAGCAGGGCAACATGAACGGAATTCAAGGCTTTAAACAGCTCGTATTTTGTCTTCTGTGGCAGCCTAAAATTTTACAGAAATTAAATAATTACCGTCACCTTGGTAAAAATGAGAGTAAACCCGTCACAGAATGCACTTCCTGATGCTTCCTAACTGCAAACAGTACATGAATTACGTAAAAACAAGAAAAAATAACATTCTATTTTCACCATTTGTATGCTTTGATCCGATTAGCAAAAGGCTGCTTTATTTTGAAAATGCACTGGATACGAATTTTTTGTAATTCCCTGTAAAGAGTCCTTGTGTAATAAAACATTTCACAAGCGATGTTTTACGTAGTATCCTCAACATGAAATGGCTTCTTTAAAAAAGTAGTTGAATGAAACGTTTCTCCAAGAGTAGAAAAATTTGGATTTACCTTGATTTTAATCGACTGTGATCGCCTGCTGTGGTTTAGAAAATCTCACAATAACGCCTTTAACAATGAGTAAATACAGATAAGAAGTTTTGGCAATTCTATAAAATCCTTAGCATAGAGCGCCCATCGTCAAGGAAAACTGAGCATTCTGTACAGTAAGTATTTGCCGTAGTAGACGTTCTAACTGTCATATTGCCCTTTAAATGTTCCAATTTAGTGGACTCGTCTTGTGTTGGGCAGTTATGCACTGCTAATACAGCACCCATGACGACATTTCTGACGCGACGTAAATAAATTTAAATATAATTTTGAAGGCTATAAGCCTATTGAAGCATTTTCATGTCATTTTTAGTCTTGCATAGGATATTCAGTGGCAGACCAAAGAACGAGATGTGCAATGATAAAACGATAACTGAGATTTAGGTAATGTGAAACCACCTGTGCTATTGTTCATAAACCCAACAGGACAAGGTGTTCGAAGTGCTTAACACCAGAAAGCATGGAGAACAGCCTTTCAACGACCAGCCAAGGGGCATTGTCCGCTGTACCGTACGACACCAACCCACCTAGTTGTACGTAATCTACAGTATGTAAGTTCGGAGCGTACGCTATTGCCCGCTGAATACTGGCCCATCGTATTTCCATTCTTACACGAATTTCGTACGACTTCGGCCGATAACATCTGGCTGGCAACGACTTGACCATGAACAACAGCTTGGTCTAGAAAACCCTACAACTTCTGCTTCCTGACGTCCGCTTTGTGTCGGTGTTTGCTTTGGGAGACATTATCTAGTTTACCTCCGTAGCGAAGGAACGAACGTTTAATCATGCAGCAAAGAATTTAACTCTAGTAATATCGAGCGCTGGCACCGCGGATTTTGTTTTGTTACTTTCCATTAGCTGTGAGCATAATCCACTTGTTTTAGCGAGAGCAACAAGTTACGGCAACGTTCGCTAGGCAATCACTCGACAATTAGAATGATCGAGCTTTGGAATTTGGAAGATTTACTATTGTATGAGGATCGAGATCACTGGACAAACCTTTTGACGTGAACAGCGGATATGAAACAAAGCGGTTAAAAGTTTTG